CAGTTGACCTGCCACTAGAATGAATCGCGAAAATAGGACAATATTGTACCAAACGATTTCAAGTTGAGGACTTACGTTGACTTATTTAAAAGGCTATAGTTCATATACATATATATATATATATATATATATATATATACACGGTTGTGCCCAGTAGATGGTCTAGCGCAATTCGGTCAGTCCCCACATTTGTGCAACAGGGAGGCAGACAATAACAGGTCTCGAGGCCAGACAGTCGGCAAGTCAAGTTTTCAGCCCGAGGGGAGTTAATCGACTCGGTTGATGCATGCACTATCGCACATGTGAACCACCGCCATTACGGGCGTCATGTGTCTTAGTACCGTGGGACTGTATTATTCACCATACAGACTGCGCTAGTAGCGGTTGTGGTTTCACTTTGTTTGTAGGGCGGATTCGTCACCACCGGCATGATTCATCATCACGAGGTTGCACTCGATTCAGACGTTGATCGTTATCCGTCTGGCCCCGGGAGATCTTTGATAATGACAGTACACAATCAAGCTGCAGCACGAAAGACAGAGTTATATATAATGGCACAGGAGTTTCTCCATGGAACGAGTTTCCGGTGTCCGTCTTGGGGAGTGATCAGCACAAGATATCCTGGCATAGTGGAGGTACAGACACCAAGTCAATCATCACGAGAATTTTCTACTTTTTGCACCACAAACGTATGGGCTATTTTCTGTTTTAGTAACTGTCATGAAACTTTCTGATAGACTATTCTCTCCCAGAGATTGAACCAATGTCCTAGAGTATTTGTTAGTTCTGTAGTGCATTACTACACACCTCTGCGGTTCTATCATGGTGTGTGTGCATGTGGGTTGTTTTTAGAGCAGCGCGGGTGTACGTGAATTCCGTGAGTCCACGAGCCGTACCCCCCGGGAACAATGGTTTTCTCCGTCTCAGAAACGACCGTTTGTCATTTATCAGAAATTAAAAACGAAGAATTTTTCTCTACGGAACAAAAGACATAACTTCCCTAGCTTGACTAATGTTATAACGAACGTTTCCGCCATTCAACTGCGATACCTCATGCGTTCTCAAATCTGGGAGAGCGGAAAGGTAGCTTACAAAAACACATCAGCAGTTGAAATTTGAGTGGTGAATGTATGGATTAGCCCATTCGGTTTTTCCCAGACACCAGGCACTGTTGATGATACTGGGTGTGAGTTTCAACAACCCAAAAGTTTTTTGCGGTTCGAGTCCTGACTGGGACACAAAAAGTACGCACTGCTGATGAGTCCCAAACAGGACGAAATAGCTGTCCAGTGCTCTCTTTGCCTGTTATCACAAATATTTCCATGGCATTTATATCAGTCGTTAAAAACCTTTTGAATCCATCTTTTTAAGACTCTATTGCCCACGGCACAAATAATTCGGAAACTTTATTGAAGAGCAACGTAGTGTTCCTTGATCACTGCGCTTATCATTTGCCCCAACAGCATTCCTCGCTCGATTTATTGCAGAATTTGGAGGAATCCGCGGACAGTCTATCTGTCATTTGTCGACACATAATTAAATGTCGAATAATCAGAGTGCTCCACATTCTGTCATCTTTCTCACGTTCCAGTATCACCCATTCCTCAAATCTGTCTGTCAGTCTGTCTGTTTATCTATCTGTCAGTCTATTTGTCCATTTTTCATTTTCTCATTGAAGCCAGGTTAAATTCATGTTATTGTGTTTGTCCGTTTTTCTACAGTAAAGGATGAAACATGGCACGTTTCCTTATTGCATTCTGATTGCTGCCAATCGAGAACCGCGAATTCCACATGCTGGTGATGGTGGTGGTGATGATGATGATGATGATGATGATGATGATGACGATGATGATGATGATGATGATGATGAATGTACGCCCACTCTAATTGCTATGAATTACACAAATTTGTATGATAAAAAAACACGAGCCCCGGCACAAGCGTATGACAAGCGTGATAATCATGTATGGTGCTTCAAGTAACTTTAGACTCATTGGCTTCTTCAAGTATCTCGTTCTTTGATTCTTCATCACCCTGTTTTTTCATCGAATAGCGATTTCCCGGTTCAACCAAAGAGCACTGGATAGCTGTTTCGTCCTGTTTGCGACTCGTCAGCATTGCGTATCTTTGTGTCCCTGTCAGGACTCGAACCGATAACCTTCGGGCTAGGACTTCAAACGCTCACTCCTGGGATGCACAGTTGACGGTCATCACTTTATGCGAATGGCTCAATCAATTTAGACGGTGAATGTTTGGTATAGCCCATTCCTGACAGGGATACGAACGGTACGCACTGCGGACGAGTCCTAAGCAATGTCTGGTGCTTGTGAGAAACAAAGTTTGTAGACTCAGCATTTATCTGAACATCCCTCATTCATATGTCGGTCGTTCTTCTATAGACTGCCTGATAATTCAGATCACGTTCGATTGGAGATCTAAGCCATTCTCCAGGTAGACTATCGTGATTCCCTTTTTTACTTCATCTTCTAAATTGTTCCCAGTACCACAAGCAGGCAACCATTAGTGCACCAGGTTTCACTACCCACCGACGTCGTACACACCCTCGTTGTGAGTTGTCCTGACGAATACTTGCCTTCGGATTCATCCCGTGCGTACGTGCAATTGAGGGCGGTCGTTCACGCATGCGCGCGTGCGTTTATGCGTACCTGCGTTCATGGGTGCAATTTATACGAGCCTGGTGTGTCTGTTTACATGCGTGCGTCTGTTGTGTGTTTCTGCACCCGACTGGCGACAGCCGGACATCGAATGACAATATCCTAGGGCTAGTTGAGCAGTCCAGGATCACTCAGAAAAGAATAAATCGGGGTGGACAACAGAAAATGGATTTGGAGGAGGAAGAGGGAGACTGGTGACATCGTTTAGCACAACAGTAAGGCACAATTTTGTCACACACATTACGTTGAACCGGTCCCTCATAGGTCACGGGATATGTGGGAGCCAAAGTGTGACCGTATGCGCGCCATTTGTGTGCGTGTGTGTTTGTGTGGTGATGCACGAATGAGCACATTGGTAGATCGACTCAACGGACAGTGAAATACGCGCGTGCGTGCGTGCGTGCGTGTGTCTCTGTCTCAGTGAGTCCATGTGTCCATGTGTTTCGGACGAACAATTAGTGGGGATTGGACTACTGTTCCGGAAGCGGAATGTAATGCGACTATCTGCTATGCGAGAGGACGGATCCGATGCCATTATCATACATGATGGGAATCAAGCAACGGAGATGAATATGGCAGAGAAAATGGACATATTTCGGTAACCCGATCATCTTCCGCCGTCTGCCTGTCCGGATAACTTACGTTTATCGAAAGGTGCGGCCTGAAATAGAAACTCGGCACTTGGTAGAAACAGTAGCAAACACACACGTACACACAGATACACATCTCATTCAAACTTCGGTCCAGGGATTACCAAGCAAATTTTTCTTCATCCCAGCCCTTGCGTTGTGCTTTCCTTCCGGCCCCGCGGACTACTATACTATGCGCAATAAACCGATTTCATAGATGTGATTGGAATGTACGATAACGAAGCTGACAACGCACAAAAATACGTACGAACCACACATCATATTACACTCGTTTTATCGAATCCGTGGAGTTATCAATCATTGGGAGTGGCCCCAAAATGCAGTTACGCTTCACGTTCAAACCGAGGCCCCACATGCTTCCGGTTACGTCACGCGGTTAGTGCTCGTTACACGACTGGAACGCCATCGTGCTTGCCACTTGCCGTCTGCTGACTTTCTCCCACCGCTTCACCTCACNCATTGCCGGTCGGCCTAGGGAAGATCCTCTTCCGATCGCACTTACCGGTACTACTCTTCATCTCTGACTCTCTCTCTCTCCTCGTGAGTAAAATAAACAGTAACCGTTTGTGTGTGTGGAATACCACAATTCACAGCCCGCGTAGTAATGCTTGCGGATTTGATTACCGTCCGTCCGATGGGACCGGATTTTCCCGCTAGTCGAGACGTGGTGGACGACTTTTTCACACAACATCAGACAATCGTGACCACTAGCAGTCCACCACCGGAGCCCGAATGGGCGCAAAAACCAAATATGGACTTCGGCGAGGTCGAAGTGCGAATCACCCAGTTTATGGTATTAATCTGTAAGTTACCTAATGGCAGTACCCCGAGGATTTGTTCTGCGGTGTGACTCTGATTGTCCATCCCGGTCCTGACATGCACACACACACACACACACACAGTGGCGTTTTACGATTACTAATGGCTTTAAATGTTTTACTTGTCGACAGTGAATTCACTTGTTCAATGAATTAGGAAATATTGATTTGGATAAACGCAATGGTTAGTTTTCCTCGCCTTCTCGTGTACTAATCCTAACAGTGATATCTAAAAATAGACCCCGTTGAATTTCATCAAAACGCAAAACGTAAAAGAAACATTCGATTTTGTCACCGTCTCAAATTGGCGTGTGTAATCACTGATGTGGATGACCTTAGACTATCACGTGGCAGTTTAAAAATTGCGTCCTTATGTGTGCAATACATGATCAATCGAAAACAGCCGAGGGCAAGTTTGATTCACTGGGTGCGTGTGGAATTATCTGTACTGGTATTCTGTTTAGCTGCAAGATGCTTCAGAGTCCAGAATCACTTCCTTTTTCATTTATGATACCTGATTCTAAACGGAATTTGGGATTTTAGTGGTGAAATGTGGAGGATAAAAAACGCCCATTTGCTCAAATGAATTTTTTTGAAATCAACTGATGACACACGAATCATTCAACTCCAAAAACCGATAACTTTGATAAGGTCCGATCAGCTGCTCGGGGGTCCGATTGAGTAGCATGCTTGCGTTCTGCCTATGAGGTCCCCATAGGGATCCATGGATTCTTACTGCTCATGATACCAAAAAGAAATAGGTTGAAATAGTTATAAAGTTCTTCCTGGCCTCTTGCTTTCTGCTTTACTTGCTCTATACACGACGAACTCCCTCTTTGATAAATAGGTCTTAGTCCTTCCTAAAAAGGAATATCACAGTGAACAAAATCATGGAGGAATTTAGCATGACTTTGTAAGACATCAAACATCAGGCATCTTCCGTGAAATCCTATTCCACCCATGGCATACTGTTCGATTGCATTCCCAAAAACTGCAGTGATTTAGATGACCTTGTACAGAAACTGCAGGATCTCAGGCACGGGATAAATTGTGGATAAATGTGATTTGGACTACAAGCTTTGGGGTAGTTTCCATCGAAATAATTTCAATTCCTCGCGGGATCTCTCGTTAGATATGAACACCGGTGGCCAATTTGTGCCTTACAGAGAAGTTTATCACTACATCCAAATTTGTAATATGACGCTCATGAATACGGTTTATCCGTGCTCAGGATTCAATCATCCTCCGATCAGACAATTTCCATCCTATGGAAAACATAATGCAAAAGCAGGTGATTTTTATAGGAGAATACGCTAGTCTTAGCTACGTTTATAACAATCCACAAATGAACCTTTGAATGTGATCATTCGTAACAACCACCTGTTTGATTGGTCGTGATAACCTTATGTAAACTACCACTATCTATGCACTTTTTCACACACAAGGATCAGTGGATGCTTTAGNNTGCTTTAGTTATTGGTGTTGTTGTTGTTGTTGTCGCTCAAAGCACTGAATGAGTATGATCAGTAAACACGCTAATTGCACCGGGCGAGTAGAACTAAAAATTAATCCCGTTCGACCTGTTCCATGGTTAGTGATGTTTCAAATGTGCGCCTCAGTTGGCGCGCATACAAGTTGAACTGATTCAACTAGGTCCCCTAAAAAACCAATTGATGGACAATGTAGTTTGAACATATTGTGATGCGATACACTGGTCTATCACGAGACAAATGCTGAACAAGTGTTTATGTGGAATATTCGCTCTCTCTCTCTTACACACACACTGTATCCGTTCGGTTGCACAATCTGCTACTGGTTGACTTTTCCAATGTACTCCCTCCGGGATAGGAGTTAGAAATGCTCACGTCTCTTTTCCGGATCCCGTGTCCCTGTATCTCGATAAAGCAAGCGGGGCTGACTTTGCTTCCGCTTGAAAGATGCTGATCTTTTGGTTGCCACAGGAAACGATTTCCCGTCCGATGACCTCACAGAACTCCCATATTTTGATTTTAGTCCCACACTGTATTGGAATAGATGAACACAATGTCCCCCACACCAACGCGGACGCACTCGTGTACACACCCACCAAATACAAGGTGAGATTCACACACAGAACATCGAGAAGGAACCTCCTTCAAAACATGGAGTGATTTTATGTTTGAGAAAATAGAATTGTACAGAGAACAAAAAGACGCCACGGTACAAGAGATTTGGGTGAGTAGAGTGTTGGGAGTAAAACGATTATCAGGATTCATTTTTCGGTGAATAAAGAAAGAAAATAGACGTGAGTTCATATCGTGAGAAGATGCGTACCCTATGCAGGTTGGGTAGATGATTCGCATACGAGTAGAAGACATTCATTGAAGCTTTTAAGTGTTAGTATAATTTCCCTCGGAGAATTATGAGCTGAAAATTTCCATCCATCCATACAGTATATCAGTCGATGATAGAGCTTTCGCAATGACTGAAGGTCGTCGCCCTGGTTTCACACAGGTTATATCAGTAGCAAATGAGTTCATCATGGCCCTCAAGATGAACACCGTCCACGTCATTGATTATCATACCGCAGCATACAAAAGTCCAATTGAAGGGACGCCCTAACTCTCGCAAACAGACCACAAACAGGATGATCTCCCAGTCACGGTACCGAGTATATCTTCCGGCATCGTTCAGTAGTACAACAGTTGAACTAAACCCGCGCACACTCACACCCGTGTATAATAAACACAATCGATTCATCACAGTGAAATTTAGCATCGAGCTTTGTTTTGTTGTAACAAATGACAGATTTGTATAAAAATCAATTATGACCTAGTCCAGCGTGTACGGCATCCCTATGACTCAAACTGCTCACTCACATTGAACTTGTCAAGTGCACTTTGATTATTGTATTGTACTCTATGGTGTATGACTTTTGCAAGCATTGGAGCTCACAGTTCAGTTGAAAATTCATACACACTACCTGTCACAATGTACACAATAAAGTGAGAGCGTTTTTACAGACACGGAGACATTTCATGATCCAAGGTTAAGATAAAGTTCACTCATTATCCGCTCTTTGTTTATGAGTAGACGAGCAAGATACGGTATGGGTGAATTGAGGTATGCGTTAATTCGAGATGGAATTTGGTGGAATTGGGAGCGTGTTGAAGGATGGGAATGACAAAGTGTCAGTTCTGCGTGCAATGGGTGGCCAGATTCTGTGAGAATCCTCCCAGCAAAGTTCACACAGGAAGTTGTATGAATCTCTGAAAGCTCTAATGCTAACTCATTCACAGGAATGGAAGAGACACAACTAATAATGGTTATACCGTGGCTTAAGACTTTGAAATCCTGTGTGAGTATAGCAGGAAAAATAACTGGGGAACAGCAGAGTAAAACACACGGATAAACAAAAGTAGAAATAACTGACTGAGAGGCGCGAAACTGCCTGAGCTTTCGTATTTGAAATGAAAGGCACCGCAGTTTACCAATGCAGTTGTGGATGTGGGTTGACCAATGCACATTGCTATCTATGGTTACACTAAGATATTTGACAGAGTTCACCCTGGATAAAGGATTGTTATTAATCACTGTGGGGTCTGTCACATATGGAGAGCGAGCAAAACTCTATGAACACTCAACACATTTACTGGGGTTCAGGGCTAGCCCCGATGAGTAGGAGAATGACTGAATTTGATCAAGATTATCAGTGAAATAACTTAGATCAGATTAAGAAGAATGGGGTTGGCACAACACGACATCATCTGTATATTTCACAATTCGTGCGCGAGAAACACAGGGAATATCACAAATACAAGTGGTAAATAAGTATGGGGATATCAAAACTCCTTGAAGAACCTCGGAGTTATTGACTGAGGGTTTAGATGAAGACTTCCCTAATCTAGTGGTGTGTACCCTATCAGTAAAATAGTTGACTAGACAAGTTAATAACTGCTTAGGGCATTCAAACGATTACAATTTTTCTAAAAACTTAGATTAAGGAATGTAATCAGTTACAGAAGAGTAGTCCAGAAGAACACACCGAACAGACTTAACAAAATTGTTTATAGACTTAGTGATAAAATGAATAAGGTGGGTCTATTAGGCTTGCAAGCAAACATTAACGGATCACTGGGAATGTTTATAGACTGTTGAAGAGGTTAGAGGATGACCTTTTCAGTCGATTTAAGAGCTGAAGATGGTAACGCTATGGAACAAAAACATTTGGAGAGGATAGAAGATTTGGATGGTTTGTTCACATTTTGTGTCTCGAAACAATTACCCACAGATTCATATTTCTAAACCGTTTGGTTTACTTAAATGAGGATTCACTGTATCATTGATTACTGCATCACAATTGATCAAGCTGGAGGTTTTGGCTACTGAGAACTTATAAAAGCACATAGAACCTGTTTGCAGGTACGTTGTCATGGTGCAACAAGGTCCGTCGTGTTCGACGAGTTCTTGGACGAAGCCTGGTAGCAGCTTAAAAAACTATCTGCAGACAGTAGTTAGCGTACCAGCCTCCGATGACTAAGCTTTGCCGATGGCTTTCTCCAGCTGTGTCAATGTCACCCGCGCATCCTCCACCACCGTCGCTTGCACATAAGCAATGTTGTCCACTATGATGGCTTCCACAGATCGACCAAAACGTGTCACATCATCCAGAGCCGCATGCCACTGTTGCATTCCGCAAACCACTTCAGCACAGTGCTTCTTGAAGGTGCATCATCACCAAATGTAGCTCGCAGACATTCAATAATCCACTTTTGCTGTTTCTACTGCTGCAGCTTGAAACCACATTTGTAGTCGGAAAAATGCATCGCCCTCCAGTGACATCGACTAAGGTCCATTCTTACAGTCCAAGTACAGCAAACCTTGTGATTTGTGTGCGACTGTGGTGATATCTATGGTCCGTTGGGTAGCAATCACTGAACAATATTTACAATACGAGAACACAGCTCACGTTTTCCTTGCCTAATCATCTGTACCTCGTACCCGTGTACTGCGTATCCGGAACCATTTTTTGTGTGGGTGTGGTGTGGAAAAT